TTTGCAGTGTACCTGTTAGGCTGTTGTGGGCTTTTCCCCTTTTTTGCCATCCTATGTCATATGACACTCCTGTCTCCACATTTTCCTCTTCACTATCATCTTTCCTCAGGTTTCTTTCACTTTCTAAACTTTCCAGACATGATTCCTTTACCAACTTTTCAATTTGGGGCCCTACTTCCCTCTCTTGAGCCTTCAGCGTGGACTCTCCAAGTGATGGTATATTAATGGATGACAACAACTCGCTTACGTGGGTAGGACCCATTCCTGCGTGCAGCATCCCTATAAATGTGTCCATTCAACATATCAAGAAATTGGCTAGATGTTAAATGGATGCTGGAAAACAATATCTTTAGCAACGTTAAATGTGAACAAACCTGCAGCTAGCTTTGTGTTTACATTAAAGATTGGTCTCCCTCGTGTTGTTCCGGTACTACGGTGGGTCTTGTTTGTTCGAACGATATTTGTCTCTCCATACTCATAGTTTGAACAGCATATGTAGAGTAGTGATCCTAGCCCAGACACTGTTTCTTTTATGGAGTCGGAGAGCCATAGAGCTGTTCCACAGGCTTCAGAGCCTCCATCCACAGCCTCAGCGAGGACATTTAATTCTACAACTAGACGGCCGCGAAGTGGAAATCCACTGCAGACATCCGGATCACGCACACTCTTTTCATTTTCTTGTTTTTCAAGAGAAAACCAGGAAGCTTTCAGCCAATCTGCGGCATCCTTATTGCGAATAAAAGCTTTTACTTTGCAAAAGCGGCCCTTAAGTCCTTCCCACGCTAGCGGAAGAACGGCCGCCTTCTTGGATATCGCAATGTTATGCGCAGAAGCGGTTGCGCAGTGCAAAACAAGAAGGTCTTTTAGCACTACTGTACTGTTGTCATGGAAACAGATAATGCCTGACGAACCCCCTTAAAATATTGCCCTCACATAGTGTTATGCATATGTCAAGTCATTATGATGATGATAAGTTTGACAGTCCTGATATCTTTTACTGATTGGTATTTGCTGTTAATTGTGGAAAACCCTTTCGAGCCTCCTGAAGTAAATTTGTCCTCCTGCTGAAGAATTGTTTATAGGTATTGTGGTTGATGCTGTAACCTTTGACTGGGTAAATTATACTCTGTTCAACTCACATGCTCTAACAACCATGCCACTCTCTTTCAATTGCATAATTATTATGGGTGTCGAAGACCTCTCAGCTTAAACACCTCAGACTCAGCTTTAACAAAAATTGCATCCTTACAAACTGTTTCTGATGCAAGAAATCAAAGAAGCAGCTTAGAACCGAAGTTAATGAGATTGCACTGTTAATAAAGACATTTGAGGTCATAAGAAATACCTAAGAAATGGAAGTAAATTAAATTGAACATGTACTTAACGTGTAATTATGATCCCCAGACTGATTCTGTGTTATTGTGTCCTTTAGAAAAGAGCTTGGGAACTAGAACTAATTAAAAGTTTTTGGAGGTAGCATTTTATAAAAAAGGGAAAGTGATTTATTAGGGTTTCTTGATCACGAGGAAAGTGGGAAATCACGCATATATTTAGTTTATCTTTCTTTTGCTTCATTAACACATGTACATTTTGCTAGCCAATGTAATGAGAGGTGTTTTCATTTTAATCAGAGGCAGTTGCACTTTCCATTGACCCCTTCAATTGCAATTTTGAGAAGCGGAAGAAGCAGCAGTGGGTAAGTCTACCCGGTTTTCAACTCTAAAAGTTATCACAAGGAAGTTTTTGTGTTTGAACCTTCGAAGCCTAAAAGTATATAGTACAAAGATAAGTGGGCTGTTCATATTTTTGAAACTGAAAGGTTGGACGTGACAAAAGAGTTCCTTTTTACTAGAGCTGGATAGTGTGTTCAAAGATTATGATTTTCACCGAGTGCAAAGTCTTGAAGAAAGGTTGGAAGGCCTGGACACCTTTACCCAAAACTTCTGGCTTACACAGTTCGTCTGAACAAACGACCAAGCACTTGTTCAAGTACTGCATTCTTTGGCAAATTTATTTCCAACCACGCTTGCTCATCTGCGTTGTTTACTGGGGGTATCAAGGTTCGAAATGGTGAATGACTGAAAAATTTAACATTATACCAACGCCTTCAGATATCTGGAAACGGACGGCAAATTCATTGTTCCCTCTCAGTAAAGCTGAAGAAAAGCACGGTGTTCATCGCATGTTATTCAGCACCAGGAAAATACCAATGAATAGCTGTTTTCCTTACTGTTTTTCTGAAGTTTTCCCGTGCAAGCGTCTTCTAACAGAATAACTAATGGTGAATGCCATGAAAACATGATGTTTGGGATTGTTTTCCTGCTCCACGAAAACGCTGGTATATAGCTTGTTTTCCTAAATGTTTTACTATAGTTTTCCCGAGCGCGCGAAAGCTGGATTTCAGTTTCCAAGCGTATTACCGCAGAATTACCAACGGTGAATGCCATGAAAACATGAGGTTTGTTGACTATGAGAGCGATCTTCGCAGTAACAAACACGACTTAAGAGTGAGTGTCAGCAAGAATCAAACAAAATCGGAAACTAGCGGCAAAAATGTGAAAAGCGAAATTTGCTCAAACTCCGGCTACTAATATAGGAAAATTCATTACCTGACTTTTAAA